TACAAACCAGTAGAGCTTCAGTCTCGTCAGAGACTTCTGGTTCAAATAATGACCCCCAGGGGTAGGGCGGGGCCAAAATGACCGACCAAAGTTTTACATAGAAATGTATAGGAAAATTCTTTAAAAATCTTCTTCTCCAGAATAGCAAAGCCTTGATTGGTATTGGGAATAGTTTTGGATTTAACCTTTTCAAGTATAAACCAATTCTGCTTTTCCTAGCCACAGTGCTCAGGTGAGCGATGTGGCCCATGGGCCTCTTGTTTTTTTTTTACTTGACATAGGTAAGTCGCATCCAAGATTTGAAGTCACGGCTTGCTCTACCGACTGAGCTACCATGAACGGTACAAAGTCAACTAAAACAAAACAAACCGGGAGCAGGGCAAACACGGACCACTAAACCCAACAGAGATGGGATCAGGTGTCATCGAGGATTAAAGGTACTTGGACACAGATTTGAAATTAATATTTTCTCTATAATATTACGACTTATATATTTTAATAGCATTTCACACAAAAATTAATTAAAAATCTTATTTCATTTAAAAGTTATTGAAACTTAAAATTTTTTGGCGGGTTTGATTGACACATCCTTGCACTTTCACAAATCTTAACTTCATTCTTAATCCTTAGGAAAAGTGGCAATCCTGATGTGTATTAATGAAAAATATTAATACTATAATCCAGAAAATTCAGAGTAGACTTGTTCTAAAGCAAAACAAACACACAATATATTGTCAGTCCGTGCAGTTGTGGTGAACAGACTTTGGCGATTTAACGCACCCGATGAATCGTAAACACCAAACAATAACATGTTTACATAACACGAGTGTGATCGATTCGCAAAACTCTGTACACAACGGAATGACGATACTTGTGAAGTAGTTCTGCTTTCTAACATTTCAACTCTGAATAAAATTATTCTTCTTGATTTAAGTTTTAATATTTTTCATTAATGCACACCAGGATTGCCACTTTTCATAAGGACTAAGAATAAAGTTAAGACTTGTGAAAGTGCAAGGATGTGTCAATCAAACCCACCAAAAAATTTAAAGTTTTAATAGCTTTTAAATGAAATAAGATTTTTAATTAATTTTTGTGTAAAATGCTATTAAAATATATACTTCGTGATATTATACGGAAATATACAAAAAATATCAACTTCAAATCTGTGTCCAAGTACCTTTAAGCATCCGCCTCTGATTAAACACCGATCACGCCCGCCGTGTACTCTGTAGACAATTCAGTGTGTAAGTAATAATCAACATAAAGAATTAAACAAAGATTTCTTTTCCCAATATGAGTCTGGTGTCCATCACAACCAGCCTCCTCTGCCTTGGGTGCGTCGTGTACCAACTGTGCATTTACATGTACAAAGTGTGAGCATCCATCTCTATATTAAATGGTCTGTAAACAATATAAGCAAACTGTAGGTCTAGGGGGAGGGGTTAAGGGATATTCTTAATTATTGGAGAGATATTAAACTACGGGTATTTCTTTAAAAGTGCTTAGACACCCCTACTAATGTTATTGTGATTTAAATTCAAGACACGTGGTTTAGGTTGATCTATTCAAAGGTTATAGAGTAGAACCGGTTTTATAAATAAAATTGGCAGTAAACATGATATTGCTATAGCGTGTTTCTTTAGATAACATGTCCTGTAATAAATGTTTCCAGACCTTTCTGAAAGACTTTCACGATTTTCAACAGGAAAAAGGTTGGCTAAAGGAGGAGGTGTTAAAATAACAATTTATCTTATACTTTTCGGCGAAAATTAGAGCTCTCTAGTGACCGATTCGCTGGTAAAAAGTGTGCATTATCATCTACACTGACAAACCTTTGTTTGCCTTATATGGCTATTGTTATAAATGCGCACAAGGGATCTTACCACGAGCAACTGACCAATCGTTGAATGAATATCGCAGCGTTTACACCAAATACATGTTTACATTTTACTTCGAACACGTAGTTCAGGTCAATCTATGAAAGATGTTGATGAATGGAAAAAAATGTTTTATAAAATGTAGCTATATATATGGTTTGTGTCTAGTTCAGAACACCAGCGCTTCAAGGGTAAGAAAAAAGAGTAGCATCTCTTATGCATTTAAATGGACAAAACTTTGTTTACGTTCGTGACCATGTGTTTGCCCAGGGAATTCACTGGCAATTGTATTCACCGATAGTACAACAAAGGAATTAATACAGACGCAAATTGCTTTTGCAGTATGACTTTCAGAAACCTAGACTTCCGCCGTTTACTTAACAAATGAATTGTTTGTCATTATGAGCATGAAAATACTATTTTTAAAAATACCTTTCATTGACCATAAGATTTTCCTTTTTATCAAGCGTGAAATTCCTGTAGTATTCGTAGTAACCCATAATGCAATACTCATTTAGCTGATTGGTCAGTTAAAATCATGCTGGTGCCACATTTGCTAATCTGACGCCAAAAAATATAGTCCCGGTTCCCATGCAAAATATTTGTCCAATAAGAAATTTTAATTCATGACTGCAGAAAATTGTATTATAGAGAATACTTATATATTTCAGTCTGAATAAATGTAAAAAAAAAAAACAAAAAAAAAAAACCAGATTGATTGAAGTACATTTCTACTGACATTATCAGCTGATTCTAGGGTGGTGAAAACTGAAACGCAACATAACTTTTCTGTTTACCATGCCTCCACGTGCCAGTCACTTCCTAGCCACATTTCCGTGAATAATTTACCCTGTCTCGCTGAAGTCTCGCTAACTCTCGCCAGAGCCACTACCAGAGCTACTCTGAACTCATCGGGTTTTATAAATTGCAGAACACCGAAAAATAAAGGGTTCCGAACACATTAGTAGGTGTGTTAGATACAGATTTGAAGTTATTTTTTTCTATATAATATGACGACTTGTATATTGTAATAGCATTCCATCAGTCAAACAAGAGAGTTCGTTTGTTTTTCACTGTTTTGCCTACCCCAACAAGTGCATCACAGCAACAAATTGTAACTTTATTATAACGTATTGTGTCGATATTATCGATTGCTTATTCAGATGTACAGTAAGAGAACAACTCATTAAAGTTTATCCAATGATAAAACATAAACCTAGGAAGAACACTAAATATGAAATGAATACATTTTCAACAAATTTTCATATAATACTTGAATAAATATTGAGCAAGTATGTTTTAAATTGGCAGTAGGTCAAGCATTACAATGTTTTTTTTTTTAATTAATTAACTTGCAAATTGAAAGAACTTGACTCAACACAATATTTCTTCTGGATATTTAGCGTATACCTAAACAGTTTTCGATATTTAAAGATCAGCAAAAGTAACTGTTGTTTGATGAGAACTCAGCTCTAAGTACTGTCATCAGAGTGCGTATCTGCATCATTTTCAAACGAGCTAGATCTACTTATCAGACAAACAAGACAATTCTATCTTCGTACTTAAAGTAGTCATTTACCCCCACAACCCACCCCCCAAAATCAAAAATACAGTTATCATATTAATCTCGACATAATTACTGGTTTGTTAAGGTTTATTTAGGAATAAAAATAGTGTGGATTTTCAATATTCACTATTTTTATTTTGATTGGTCAATTTGCAAGGTATTGCATTGTAATGCAGCAGAGGTGCAACGTGCAAAGATACTTTTTATCAGAAAGCACAGTTAGTTTCCTTGTATTGCAAATATTCCCCCACCATCCACCCTGCAGAAACAGCCTATATATACATTTTTTCCTTTGGACTGATTGTAGGTTGTGAAATTTGCATAATGTGAGTTTGTTACAAAGTTTAATAACTCAAATTAAGGCCCTTTGAACAACGTAAGTAAAACGATTCTTGCTCTCTGCTTTTATATTATGCAAATGTTCAGTCAATGCTAACAGGCGGCAAGATTGTAAACTATATAAGACTTCAGGGAGTCATTTACAATTTGATCAAATGTTCATGTCGAAGTAAGTATCTAACGGAAATGTGTTGTGTACAGTTTTGTTTTAGTGTGAGTTAATCTCATTAAACAAGTACTGCTACATTAAAAGCTTAATGAAAAACGCGTTTGAATGTTCTACGTAGTAATTGGGTGCTTTGATTGAGTTTCAAAATCTTTATTCATCAGTCAAAAACAAGAGTTCATTTGTTTTTCACTGTTTTGCCTACCCCAACAAGTGCATCACAGCAACAAATTGTAACTTTATTACAACGTATTGTGTGGATATTATCGATTGCTGATTCAGATGTACAGTAAGAGAACGACTCTATTAAAGTTTATCTAATGATAATACATAAACCTAGGAAGAACACTAAATATGGAATGAATACATTTTCAACAAACTCTTGGGTTTTCAAAGTCCAAAGGCACAGGCCTCCTGCAAGAGCGCCAATGGTAAATAATTCCTTTAACACAATCATGTCTTCAGAATTACTGACCACGTATATTAAGGACACAAGAGAATCATCCCTCCCTCATATCTTAGCTTTTACAAGTGGTACTTGGGTGTTCGAAACCCTAATTATAAGTTTATGGTAGTATTTACTTACTGCCTTGCCCTCCATGTTTTCAGAGCTGGGGTCAGGCGAAACAATACACTGGCTATCAATGCTGGCAAAACAAAGTTTTCGCCCCTTTTCTTTGGCCTTAACATGCCGATATACTTGGAGACATATATTAGAGACTCATTTCTTCGAATTCAGTGTCCCGACACTGTTAGACAATTTCTTGAAGACAATGAGTCTTATAGTGTATATATGTGTCAGGTAATGAGTCAAAGGGGGAAGGGGGTGATTTTATTCTAGAGACCAAAAACAGAAGAACCAAAATGTGGATACCGAGTGGGGTGCCTGAGAACAACAAGTGGCTTAATGTCTGTAGGTGTATAGACAAATTGGAAAAGGTAAATAACAAAGTAAAAAAGTTAAAGATTTCATTTTTTATTTTTTGATGATGGTTTTGCACTGCCGATGTGAAATGGGCATTTCCACCCAATCCTGCTGAGGGGGGCCTTAGATGTCACGGTGATTCCAATGCGTAAAGCATGTACCCAGTATTGCAGGTCTGTTTGACCCTGCCAAGATTAACAACATGGGAACAGCCCACATGGCCTTAGTCTCCTTCCTCCCTTCGCCGCATTTGCGGCAAAGGATAGTGTCAGTTACACTGGAAAAGGAAGACTCTGCTGTTTGTGTTTGGGCAGAAGTCTTCCTCTTTGGTGAGAAGCAGAAGGATGGTCCTGGTGTCTCCTCGTTGTCAGTAGGTTGGGTTGTTCCTTCTTCCTTCTCTTTACCTGGGCGACGTAGATTTTCCTAAAAATGTACATATATTTTAATAAAATATGCAAATAAAGTTTATTAATCCGTGTTTAAAATTTGAAACGTCATTTTTCATGAATTTACCTTATCAAACTCCACTGATGGGGACTTATAAACATACTTGGTTCCACCAGAACTCTTCAGATATAGCAGACAATCCGCCCCAGTCGCTTCCGAAATTTCCCTCGCCTACAAAAGAATGAAATTTGTAATATATATATTATTTCATAGATTATCAGGCGCGGATCCAGGAATTTTTTCTAGGGGAGTTCCACTCAAGTGGAAAAAAAATAAAACAAGCTATAAATAAACATAACTATGCAAATTCCAAAGGGGAAGGGGGGTCCCCTCTTTACCCCCCCCCCCCCTTCTAGATCTTATAGAAATTGGTGAATAGATCCACGAATATTTTAGAAGAAAAATATTATGATTATTGAAATGCACTAGTACCTTGAACTTTTTTTTATTAGGTGAAGCTTAAAAAATTCTTTGTTTGCAGTTGCCACCCAATGAATTTTAGAGTGGGTCGGTAGGTAGGTATGATTTTTTTTCTTTTAGATTTTAGTTATGAAGTTTTTGTTGGATTAAAAATCAGAGATTTTCGTTATTTTATGCAACTTATCGATAGAAAGAAAAAAATAAGATTAACACAAGTTTTTATCCTAAAAATTTGAAACTTCCAAAAAAAGTTCTCAAAATAATAATGGATGAAAAAATTTTCAGTTGGGTAGGCAACTGCAAACAAACTTTTTTTTTGTATGCCTTATGGAGAGTGATTATACTTATGTGTGTATATATAAATGGTGCCTGTTTTGGAGGGTAACAGTTGAAATTGGCACCCCAAGGAAAACCATTGTCAACCGACGCGTCAGCGGAGGTTGACAATGGCTTTCCGAGGGGTGCCAATTTCAACTGTTACCCTCCAAAACAGGCACCATTTATTTTATTATACTGAATGTCTTAAATGTACTACTTTTAAATTTCTTTAATAATTGATAAAAATATAAACTTCAACAACAAATTCATGTTTTGAAAATTATGTAAACAATAAATTGAAGTAGTTCTACAATAAATTAAAATGTTCAACAATGAATAAAATATTGAAAACAACTTGACTTCAGTAATTCTTCATTTTTGATTGTAGAAATTGAAATTTACAGTACAGTTGTTCAGATGTGGACAAATTTGAATTCCTGGTAGTTGTGGGATAATGTTAGAACTTTCAAAAGCTCTCAAAACGCTAATTTCTTGTTTCTCACAAGTAACGTAATTGCTGGATGAAATTTCTTCAAATGTGGAGTTATTAAAAATTTCATCAAGATCCGTTTCTGTTAGATTAGCCAGCGGATCCTCTTCTGTTAGATTAGCCAGCGAATTTTCTTGATCACTACGGGATTCAGTAGCAAGGTTCTTATTACATGTAACAGTTCCCAAAGCTGAGCTAAGGCAATCGGACATTTCTCTTTTCTTGTTCTCATTTAGACGACATGCATAGCTTCGAATTGATGATTCGTTTTTGTGCCCCGAAGCACGCAAAATGTATCTGGCCTCTATGCCGGCGTCATCCATCGCCGTTATAACTGTTGCGCGTATAGAGTGGTTTGTGTATAGGCGGGACAAGTTAGCTTTCTTTAAAATTTCAGACATAAGACAAGCCAGAGTGTTCTTTCCTACTGGAGATCTGCAGTACCATGTTTCGTTTTCTTCTGAAAAAGCCTCTAATGGACGCTGCCACAATGCTTTTAATTTCTTGTGTAACTTTGACAAATACTTTTTAAATGTACTCACTGGGCACATATCTCCTGATTGAGGTTGTCCATACATTCTTGCTTCTCCAATTGTTTCGTCGGGTGTTGCATTGGATCTAAAAAATATTTTTTTTGAAACAATAATGAAAATCAACATACATAATGTTTCAATATTCCATAACAATAAACCATTACCCCTTCCTTTATAAAAAGTGATAAAATATATTTACCCATGATTTTTGTCCGCTTCATCAATTGCCTGGTACACAAATTCTCTCCCAGTTGCATCAGTATCAATTCCAAACGTTTTTTGGGTCATTTTTCGTAAGTTCTCCCGACCTCGTCTGCACAAGTAGAACATCAAATCAAACCATACTTTGTTTTGTAATCCACATGGTGTATTAACATTGAATACAATACTCTCACTATCTTACAGTTTTTTAAGTCCTCTGTGGAAATTGGTGGTTTGTGATCCACGGATCCAAATCCCTTCTTTTTCATGTCTGTGAGGGCTGCCTTGTAAACTTGTTTTGACTCGTTAAATTCTGGACCGTCCACGTCAATTTTGCAAGTGTCCTTCAAATACTTAAACAGGCCATATTTTATGTTGTTCAAAGAACTAACTTTTAGACTAGTTCCTGCTTTTGTGCTAATGGAAACATAAAAAAGTCTTAGGTTTTCATTGAGTTCTTCTTTAGAGAGACCTTCGAATTCCCCGCTTCCTCTTTTTTCCATCAGGAAGGTGCGGAAAAGATTAACGGATCGTTTTATGGTGCGCTTAGTACTTACGGAATCTTTGTCATCTAATAATTTTGTTATTTCAGACTCCTCTATATCCGCGAACATTTTTATTTCTGGTCGAACCTTTCAGGCTTTCTATCGTCTGTTGATTTTATTCAGTCGTATTTGGGCGCAAGCTTTAAAAATGTCATAATAATCGCTTCTCTTCAAACGCACAACTGACTTCTTCAGACATGTTGAGAATTCTACGGCGAACCGTACGCGCATAATTTCCACGCATGTGGCATTACCGTTGTGTTACCCGTTGTCACATGCGTTGCTAAGGCTGAGGGTAATAGAACGGATTGTTAACTGCGTCTAAACCAATCAGATTTTAGTATTTAACATGAACGTATAATATAAATTACTAAATTATGATTTGTAGGTCAGAAGTAATGTTTGCGCAGCACTCTGCTTGTGTGAGCTGGACCCAGACTATGCGTATATGTATGACATAGAGTTTGAGGTGTTCAGCTTTCGGGCTACTTGGCTGACCCCTTTGAATCTAAGAAGCACTCTACTTTACAAGGAAAAGTCTTAGACGAATAATTTATTCATTTTGATCGTATGTGTTTTGAAAATAAGACAGAGTTCTTAGACTTTTGTGTAGTACATAAATTGCAGGATAGAAAAAAATTCATTCCAATTTTTATTTTCCGGAGGACAGAGAAGATTTTTATCACATGGAAAAAAAAAATCTAAAAGTGAGTTGATAAAGCTTATTAATGAAAAGCTGGCTCAGCTAGAAGATGATGATTTAAATGCAAAATGGGTTGGTGTGAAAAATAAGAAAAAAAAAATGAAATCGTTAAATTTTACAAGGATTTGCAGGTAGAGAGTGAGTAATTCTCTGTGTTCTTTAATCTGATTTCACACTCAGAGTTCCTTGGATGGCTCGTACCTCGCACATAACCTCGAACGTCAAAGGTGTTCTACCATCTTGCTGAATCGGTCAAGTGATCTTATTTGAATTTCATTCAAATGTTATACTTTTGAAATCCGAGTTACTTTGTTGTATGCTGAGCACTCTGTTTTACTAACATATGGTTGTAATTAATATCAGGAATTACCCAAATAAAGAAACATTTTCGAAGAACTTTAGGCAAAGCGAAATATGAAATGAGTTACAAGGCAATTTCCGGCGGAGAAATGTAGCGACTTCATGCGTATTACTCCATCTATCACATCGGAGGTTTGAATGGAACGTAGCGGAGTCAGCCGAGGATTGCCTATTGCTGTTTTCATGGAAAGGGTAATGCTATGAGATGAATTAAGTGTTCAATGTACTCTACCATATTTTTATCTTTACGTCTGTGATATAATGTAATATATAATTGATCAGTAAATTATGATATATTATTAGATTTTTACATCAGTGATACTTGAATATTAATGTTTTATACTTTTCTAAATTGTATATAAATGTAAATTTTAATTTGATTTATATGGATTGTACACATATCGTGTATGATTGTCAATTGTCTAAAGTATGCATGTCTTACATGCATATAATGTAAATAAATCAACAACATTAAATTTTATACTTTTTCCAAAAGTGTATTTTTCCTCTTAAAAAATGACTGAGAGATCTTTTGGCTGCCAACTAGCGCCTTCACGTCCCTCCTATTCTTCCCCAGCGCAACGTTTGTCACCTTGCTGGGTTTACCGTTTCTTTTCTGTGAAAAAAGAGGAAATAAATTAATTGACGACAGAGAAAAAAAGGGGGCGAAGACTGACCGCAGAGAGCGGCATTACTTAAGAAAACATGCTCGGATCTAGAGTGCCCCCTTACAAAATTCCAATTGGTTTTAATTTACATTGTTGAATTGTCGCAAATAGTTACACCCATCCCCCCAGCAAACAACATAGATATCCTTCATAATAAATGGATCCGCGCATGAAAAAGACTTTAGTTAGTGATGGGGCTCGTTTTACAAAAAGAACTTACAACTATACCAAAATTAATTACATGTAATGCTGAAAACTTTTTATTGTGCATTGATTTTAAAAGGAATTTTCAACTTTTAAAAAAGATTTTTAACGTGATATTTTTTTTCTAGGAGTTTAACAACAGAATAATTGATTTTTGCAAAATTTAACAATCAACTAAAATTTTGGTCTTAGTCGTAAATTCTTTTCTAATAACACGGGTCCCAGCTGTTCTCGCGTTCTTTACCAACCAGTTATCGTTCTTCACCGATGAGTTATTTAAATTATATCTATATATACTCTGATTTGCTGCATACTCACTTCATATGTCTATTGTAGAGTATTAGGCCTAATTCATATAAAACACTTTTAAACATACTTTAATATGATATATGATTAAGTTATGAATGAAGCAAAAATGTTTTTTCAAAATTTTAATTTTCCTTCTTATGGCCCTCCATACGTTATTTTGAAAAGACCACTAAATCAAAGATTAAACCTATTTTCCACAGGGGCCGGTAACATACTGTTTTTGATTTTACGTAATCACTATATATATCGTATACATATAGTGATTACGTAAAATCAAATACAGTATGTTACAGGCCCCTGTGCTATTTTCTGACTGGATGATTTGATCTCGCGAGAATTCTTTGCGTTAAAGATGGCATCTGAAGAAGCGGTTTGCTTCACGACATGGAAAAAAAAATGTGAAAGTTTTCCAATTATCAACAAAGCAAAGAAAATTTGAAAAGGTATATCATTTATACATAGTAGCCCTGTCATATAATAGCGAGCGCAGCGAGCGTCGCGAAGCGACGCTCGCGAAGCGAGCTCAATAGACTAACGTGTAAGAACAGAGGAAATTCGGATTGAAATCTGTACATACGTCAGCCAAATTTCTCTGTGCAACATTCCCAGAATTCCTGCACTACCCAATGTCCTTTGCGCGAATATTGCCGAATAAATAAATAAATAATAACGTAAAGCATATATCAGACTTTCAGTTTGTTGAAATCTTTCAAAGAAACAAGAAATAACTCTGCAATGTTTTTCGACAAAAATTGCACTAGTTCTATTGTTTCAAACAGACGCTCGGCTGTCTCCGTAAGCTCCGACGAGCTTTGTGACGTCGTATGACGTCACAGCTAGTCGAGATGTCTCATGCGGCTTGACGTTCGAAGTGGTTGATCTCAAGTGTTTTTGATGGTACAACTGCGCTCGCCCCAACGGTCACACCGTAAAACATATTATACGTTTATTTCTCAGTTAGGGATGAAATAAAAGTAAGACATGTCATAAAACATCCGGTGTAAAACCTGTAGCAGACATCGGAAATTCGAACTGTCTTCACTGTTAGGAAAAAAGCGTGTGGTATATACCGCGCAGGATATTTACATATAGCTCACTTAGGTATTAATAGCCCACTTGGGATATTATATCCCGTTTAGGCGATTGGTCCCAACCCGTTTAAGAGGCGTCGACGAACATAGGAACCTATCGATTGATCAGTTTGACCTTCATGATGTTTTTAAAGGTTGCATCAGTAAAACTTACAAAGGTAAGATTATAATTTCTGCAAAAATATTTAACAAAAATGTCTATCAGAATTATACATTATTGTTAAGTGTGAATTTTAAAAGAGTTATGTGCATTGTTTATTTAAAAAATACTATTTTAAACAGGAATCAACCGGAATAGCACGAAGTGTCTTTTTTTCTGGAAATAGGGGGGGGGATTCTAGAATGAATATCTTAAACTAGTATTTTGGCAGACCAGATTAATGTTTACTTGATGATTATGTAGTGAAATTCCTTTGATCGAGTTAATATTTATATAATCAGGGTTTAAAATAGTCTTAGCAATCAAAAGTTATCTCCTATGTCCAGTCAATGTTTCAAACATTCAGAAGATCAAGATCTGACTCAGCAGGTATTGGAAAAGTATATAAGCGGGCTCATTCAAGTCCCGGTGTTCAGTTATTGAGAAGCAGTAGAAGAGGAAGGACGTATTACGGACAAGGTAAGGTATTTGTGTTAGCTCATTTGCGGTGTCTCAAAGTTCTGCAGACGGACCATTTGAGCTACATAAATCCTTACAGGTAACTAAAATAGAGTAAAACTATTATATAAACGGGTGTTTGAAACCCGGTGTTGAAACTATAGGTCTGGGAGCTAGTGCTCAAACATAGTGTCAAACCAGGGGCTAAATTAGTACGTAGACTAGGAGATAACAAGCTAAGGAAAATTAGAATAATATAGAAATTCAGTTTAAATCATTGTGTTGTTGATTATTTTTGATTGTGTTATATTTAATCTAATCAGCTAAATACGTCAAGTAACGTAAAGGAAAATTCTTTGTCTATACTTCATCCGTGGTCGAACCCAAAAAACACATTACAATTATACCGGTATTTCAGGTGGTCTGAACCAGGGGAATATTTCGCCAAAAATCATCAAGCATATGTTCTGTGATGATGAGTTGTACAAGGTGTATAAGGAATATATTTGTCTCATCCTTAGTCTTGACAGTGATCCGACCGCAACCTTCTACAGACTGTCAACCTTGATGAAATCCATGTGTCAAGAAGTCGGGTTGGAGGGTAATTATACCAATCACTCCGGGAAGTGTACATGTGCGACCGCGTTATATGAGGCGAGAATAGAGGAAAAAGAAATTATGGCCCGAACGGGCCATCGTTCGATAGAATCCGTTCAACAGTATAAAAGAGCATCAGATGAAATGGTAATGGAGGTATCCAACGTCTCAGAGCCAAAACGCATCAAGATAAAATCAGAGGAAGCAACTTCCACTATATCTACATCTGCCTCCCTAGATCTGCCACCCTCCATGGATACAGACGCTCCTGGTCCAATTTTCAACCACTGTACCTTTAATACCGGCGGATTTTAACTGGGGTATTACCACGAACCAGGTGTACACTCATTAATCATTTCAGTGAAAATGTTACTTTGAGAGAAAAACTCTCCTTTTTGTATGTGTTCTTTTAAATAACTATTTAAAAAAAAACCGGTTAATTTCAGAGAGAGAGAGAGAGAACTTACTTTTGTACTTGTTTTCTGTGAATTAGTATCTCATTAAAGATATTTTATTTTGAGAGAACGGATGTGTGTGCAACGGTGTGTGTGTTTATTTTTGTAAATTTTGTTTTGAGTTGTATTCAATAAATACAATAAACGATGAATATTCATTATAAAATGTCAACTTTACTAGACCACAAGAAGGCGGAGTTAGATATTGGTGGGGTATATATTCATGTATATTGATCACAGAAAAGTGTTGGTTTGCTCAAAATGCACCATAGTTTCGAACAAAAAAATGTGGTGTATAGATGTTCAGCTATGGTACAAGATTTTTTACGACCCATCATCTATCCATTTGATCTTTAAAAGCTGATGCGATCAAGTAAATATCATAGTAAAGGAAACTGTTATTTAGTTCAAGAAAGAAAGAAATCTATTAATTTTATGTTTTCTCTCTTTGCAGAATTCGTCAAGATGATGACAAACAGACAGTAATAATCATAGGTTTACGTTTGTATAAATTGAAATAAATCTCTCAAGTTTTGTCTATTCTGTTTGAATTAATTCTCCATCATATATTTTTGGTACGTGTAATTTTTAAGCCTTTGGATACAAAACTCATCTGATTTTTTTTTTTCCAAAAGGGTATATATTTAGATTAATTAGTTTTAAACGGTCTTATCTAAAAGACCAATCTCCTGCATTGGATTCGAACCCAAGACGTAAAGATTAGTTCCCTTCTCCACCACTCTAGAGCAGACCCTCTAACCACTGCGCTACGCAGCTGGTGACAAAATTCCAATAGTTAGTTGAAAATCCTGGGCAAGGGGCCATAAAACTTGCACGAGCTCCCTTTTGATCTAAGTGAGACTGTCATCAAAAGGTGAGTGGGGGCCATAAAACTTAGACGAGCTCACTTTTGATCTCGTCTAAGTTTTGCGTGCCCAGGCCTAATCTCTAAAGACAACATAAATACTGTCATGTAGAATTTTATATTTAATTTTGAAAATCCATTTACAATTTCTGGCTGGTTTTAATACAACTTGATGCAAGTTACGCCACTCTCACATGCTTTGTGTGTTCACAGGAGCGGGTCCATTCATATAAATTTATTACAAACCCTATTTTAGTGACACCGCTAATCTAAATGATAGGTATTATGAAAGAGACATCTTCATTTTAAATGTTTAACAAGAATATTGATAGGGTTACTTTGGAAAATTGTTTTCCTAGAACTCTTATTCTTTTAAGTTTATTTCCACTAGAGAAATTATGATCGTGTAAATTTAAAGAGGTAAATGAAAATTACACCACATCCCACGAGTTTTGCAGGTACGTTCAGTGAAGATGCAGCAGAATTTAGACAACCTACAAACAAAAGATATCGTTATTCAAACTATAATATTTTATACATGTACCACCTTAGACAAGATACAAATATGATACTAGTATCGAGGGCTTCAGAAGCGATTCTCCAAGTTTATTTCTTGGTCTTTTGAACCCTATACACGGTAAACTGCATTGTATTTCCTTTTATTCTACGCCCCCGCAATTGAAGATTCGGGTATATATACACTTGTTCTTGATCTATTCGTCCGTCTGTTTGTCTGCAAAGTCAAAACTTTGGAACGGATGGCTTTAGACGTTTCATATTTGACATGGGTATTCCACGTATTTATATGCTCGTTTATCGTCCCTTCCAGAATTTAACACTAAGTTATAATCACACGCCGCCATTTTTGCGGACAAACAGAGAGGTGGACAAAGGAACAGGGTAAAAAAAATATATCCCTGACTCTTCGTTTACGGGTGCATTTTAAGGTAAACTACTAACATTAGCATTATTACTGTAAAAATCATTAGATCAAATTTTTAATGTTCGACGATAAATAGACATGTAATTGTTTCGCTGGTTCGTGAATTCGAGGGAAAAACAGCGAAAAAAATTGTTTGGGTTGAATGCAATTTTATGCTGTAGGCTTTGTGGTGACACATATATGAAGAAGGTAAAGAAATCAAATAAACAGTAACCTCTCTTTTGCAAAGTACGAGAAACAGGAGTCTTGTTCAAGCACAGGTTTTGCAGCTGAGTATTGATGTTCTTTAAGAAGGATGGCGCTAAAGATGGCTTTCTGCTCCAAACCCATGACTTGGCTACCTTTGTAGTTCCATTTGTGTTCTCATCCTTAAAGCCATAGACTAAGGCATAATTCACATAATCGGTATTCATCACCCAGTAGTTAACCGTCTCATCTGTAATTGTGAAAGATTTCAATATTGTACACAAAATTAACAACTTTGAAAATTAATTAAAAATCATTTTACAGGTAGCATAGTCTTTACGCCCCACTCAAGAATGTTTCACTCTGATGCAGATGCCACAACTTTCCAGTGGAGAGCTGCAAATTTTATCTATGCTTGGCTCGGGGCCATTAAGCAGCACTGTGCCAGCACATATTGAGACAAGAGAACTCGGTTTACACTTAACAAAACTTTTAAGTATTCACTTTAAAAATTGTATTTATTTGAATCCTACTTGATAGAATATTATGATATTTTCAAATTATTACAACAAATCAGTCTTCTCAACAAATGTTGAAAGAAATTCAAATATTACCGATGAAAACCAGTGTTCCGTGACGAAGCTTAAAAACAATAAATCTGTACTTTGCAGGACGTGTTTTATGTAATTAGCATCTTTTTTTATCATTATTAAATTTTAAAAACTGGGTTCACTAAAAGACACAAAACATTGGCAAAATGAATATCGAGAAAGAAGGGAGAGCCGTTGGAATGTTGAAACCTGTGTAACGTTTTTCCAAAGTACAAATAATTATCTATTGGGTCCGCTTAGGATTCCTTCCTAAGAATCACGTTTAAATCGAATTAAAACAAACTTTAATAACAATGGCAAACAACTGACATAAATTCACTATATATATTTTTCCTAGGTCCTATCTGGATAATGATTAGAAAACAAACTATAAAACAAACTATAACAACAGAATCACTAATAATCAAGTATCAAATATAAAGTTATATCACTGTAGTTGCAGACTGAGTGGTTTAACCAACAATTCTGTTGTTTCCCGACACAGTTTGCAACTACCTAAAAACACACCCTAAAAGTCACTGAGACACCTTTATTAAAAGTCACCAAGACACTATTTGAAGTCACCAAGACACTATAGTCACTGAGACACACTATTAAGGAACTAGGTTCCTGAGCTGAGTGGTCTAACGAACAATTCTGTTGTTTCCCGACACAGCCCAAGAATCTAGCCCAGGAGGTGTTACTCAAACGATGAGTAAAGACCAAGTAGCCGAAATCTTCTTGAGCGTCCATATTTATACCTTATTCTACATGTAATTCCTAATGATTGGTTGATGATTCTGGAACTCTGATTGGTTATAATATCAAGCGCTGATTGGTCAATTATCAAATGATTCTATTGCAAAGGCATTTCAATCCACTATGATTATTCTATTTCATTACATTACCCACGCCTTCGAAAAATATATGCGTCCTCGCATAGGTAAACAAGAGTATAACAAGGTTAAAAACATTGAACTTCAAAACTGTAGTAGTATTTCCTACCCAACTGATTTTTATTCACATATTCAGAAAGAGACGTAATCACTAAGGTAGGCTGGTCTGCTTCTCTTTCGTTTGCCATCTGCCTGAAAACTCTCCTTTTCATATGTTTCCTCAGCATCTTCAGCAATGTTTTCTAAGGAATCAGACATTGTATTTTCTGCATTGTTATTCTCTTGCAAAGGTTCTGATGTTAAGATTTGGTCTTTCATTGGCCGTATTCTGTCAGTATGAATTACTTGGTTTGTACCCCTGTATCCACAGCTTACTTTATAAGTAACATTGGAACATTTCTCAATAATTTCAAATGGTCCTTGCCAATACGATGTAAATTTGGGAGATGTACCAGTCTTACGTTTTGGGAAGTAAACGTAAACTCTTTCACCTGGCTTAAATGACTGCCAGTGTAATTTTCTATCATGGTACTACTTCTGTCGTTCTATACTCTCTTTTGTCATTTCCCTGACAACTGCATGTGCTTCTTCTAATTATGTTCCCCAAACGAAGTTGGGGAACATATTGTTTTTACTCTGTTTCTTATTATTATTTTTCTTCTTCTTCCTGGGTACTTTTTTGTCCGCGAGTGATCTTGTAAACTGTTCACCCGAAGTAGGTAAAACCTTTTTAGGGTTAGTAGACATGTTATGTAGATTTGCGGAATCAAGGTCATTTTGCGCGCACGTGCTTGCAAGAGCGCGCACGTGCAACACGTAAAATGACCAATATAATAGATATGGCCGTAACTTTTCTATTTTTAGCCGGGCTCATTGCTCGTAGAGCAATGCCCGGCTATTGCGACGGTGAGCAACAGAAAATGCTGCTTCTTCACCGCCAAATTGAGTGTACGAGTGAAAATATAGTACGTACGCCCAGTCGCTGTTGAGAAAACAAAATCCATTCAAACACCTTAAGAAATAGTAAATCGAATATTTTTATCAAAATATTAAATTGTTTAATATTTTTAATATTTTTCCTGGCTCCTTTGACTAATATTTTACAAAGCAATTCAAAAGGTGCGAAAGGTTTTCATCAGGTATCACTGTCTGCGTCATATTCTATAAATAAAGGTTGTACTATCTGGCTAACACAAATGCAGGGAACATCATTAATGACTTGATGCAAAACTCCCCGCTGCGGACACATCAGTGCATAGTCGTTTGACCTTAATTAATCTTGCTGCATCGGTGTTTATTTACTTCCGTTTGTATATAAAACCCCGAAACGATACATGTGATAAATATTTTACGCTGTTAATTTCTAGCTATATTTTATTTAATTTTTAAAACTTTTTAATACCTTACATGCCATATTTTTGTGTGTAACATATCCTCTAAACGTCTGAACTTGATTTTAAACTGTCACCACGGTCTTTGTTCATTACCCTGTAAATGAGCCTGGCTTTCAGTACTTCTGAGTACTTTGATTTGATTATATGCTTTGAAACTCATAATTTGAATGTATAATAGTATTATACACATGATGACATGATCAAAATAGCAAGATCTCACGCGCATGCACGTGCACTTCGCTCTGATTGGCTGAAACTAAAGTCTCTATATCTTACTTGTTTGTCGACGAAATCCTATGAAATTTTTGAACATAGCCATGCATTAAGATGTCTTACAACATGATATATAGCAATTATTATGAAAACACGTGCATGCACGTGCGCTGCAATCTGATTGGCTTAAACTTTAAATAGCTATAACTCCCTTGGTTTTCAACCAAACAGGATGGGATTTGGAACATAGACAGACATAATGAACTTTTACAAGAAGGTATGGTCACAATGCACATGCATACACGTGCGTGTACTTGCGCTGTAATCTGATTGGCTGAAACTTTAAACAGCTATAACTCCCTTGGTTTTCAACCAAACGGGTTGGGATTTAGAACATAGATAGATGTAATGGACTTCTATAAGAAGATATGGTCACCATGCTCATATATGCACGTGCGTGCACGTGAAATGGGTGAAATCAAAAATATACTGGAATGAGCATGTTTTTCAATACTTTTGGATTAAATATTTTAATATTTTGTATATAAAAAATATATAGATTGTGTAGACAGGATGATATGGTCATTGTGCACATGCATTAACATGCGCACACGTGCAATGCTAAAATTTGAATGAACTTGGCGTTGTTAATGTCTCAAATGCATATGTTTTTGCTTATTTAATGAAGCTTACAAGTAATATGGCACCAAAAGGGAGTTGGGGAGCGTTTGGGGAACATCTGTAACGGTCCCCGTTACAATAAGCACTAGTTTTTCTTGTAACTCCCAACCCCATCTATTCTGCGGTATTCTCTTAATATCAGAATGGACCTCATATACAATATCCAGAGGTGTAGCGACCTCTCTACCTAACATCATTTTGTTTGGAGTTGCGCCAGTTGATTTGTGGACTGCTGCTCTGTATGCCATCATTACGTATGGGAGATGTTCGTCCCAATCCATATGGTGCTCATTGACATAGGCTGATAACATGGTAGCCAGAGTTTTGTTGAATCTTTCAACCATCCCGTTCGATTGGGGGTGGTACGTGGTGGTGTGTGTTTTCTTTATTTTCAAAAGCCGGCACATTTCTGTAAAAAGATTGCTTTCAAACTGGACTCCTTGATCGGAGTGAATAGTTCCAGGCACTCCAAAGCGGGCTACGACTTCTTCCGCTATCACCTTAGCTACAGTTGCGGCTTCCATATTAGCCATAGGAAAACTTTCTGTCCATTTAGTAATGTTATCCGATACGACTAGTATATATCGGTTACCATTATTGGACATGGGAAGTTCGCCTAATATATCTGTAACAATACGTTCCATTGGTGCGCCGCAAGTGACAACTTGCATCGGGGCACGTTTAGTAGTATTTGGTGATTTTCGCCTTTGGCATTTTTCACAACCAGCAATGTACAATTTAACATCCTTCTGCAATCCTGGCCAATAGTATTTGGATTTTATCTTCGCCGGTGTTTTCTTTATCCCAAGATGTGCAGACGTCCTTTCATCATGGAACTGTCCTAATACTGTTCGTCTTTCACTGTATGGCACAATAGCTTGCAAAGAAACTTTGTCATTTTCGTGCTTTTTCTTTCGGAAGAGCATTCCATTTTCTAATACCAGAGCATCCCACTGAGAACATAGAGACTTAATGAAGTAGCTATAACCAGAAATCTCTGATGACTCCGGCTTTACACCTTTTTTCAACCCATTTGATCAGTTGATTTATGTCTCTGTCATCGTTTTGTTTGGCTTTTAAAGACAACTTCTCCTGAGGTGCAACACTACTTAAAGCATTAACTATATTTTCAGAAGATGTACAGCATGCTTTTCTGCAAGGTAAACGGCTTAGGGCATCGGCATTTGCATGTTTATTCCCTGGTCTGTGTTCAATGGTCATTTGAAAATTGCTCAGTGATTCAAACCATCGAGCAAGCTGGCCTTCTGGATTCTTGCTGTTCATTAGCCATTTCAAAGAACTGTGATCTGTTCTGACTAAAAACTGTTTGCCATACAAGTAGTGCTTGTAATACTTTGTAAAGTAGACAACAGCCAACAGCTCCTTCCTTGCGACGCAATATTTCCGTTCTGCTTTTGATAAGGTTCTGCTTCCAAAAGCAATTACTCTTTCTACTCCGTTTTGTGTCTGTGAAAG